TATAGCGAGGGCGGCGGCGCACCGCGGCGGGCGACCACTCGACTCCTGCGCGCAACTTGGCGAGGGGAGAGGGGAGCTGGCCGGCCTTGGGGCGCGCGGCGGGGACCGGGGCACAAGGGCACGCGTCCGAGGTGCGGCCTGCGGTCCCAGCAGCCCGCCACCCTTCACGGAGCGCGCGCTGACGGGGTCGTCCCGCTCGTCCGCATGTCGGCGTCCTCAGCGCGGTCACACCGGTCTTCAGCGTGACGCCCCGGCCAGTCTCCTCGTCCAGGAGAAAGTTCCCAGCTGTGCTTTGCAGCCGTTCCCTCATTCTCCAAGTTTGACCTTACTGTTCTTGCAGAGATAACGTTTGCATGGGCTTGAGAAGACTTAAGTTTTGAAATTAAGACTTTGTATTTTGCACTGTTCTTTAGGAGACGGATTCAACGAAAGCTGGCGTGACCCGTTTCCGTTTGAATGTTCTAACGTCTGTTGTAGCTAAACTGACTTCTTTTCTAAACTCTGATTCCAGCTTCACCCTGCGGGAGTCCCAGGGATCAACAGCTGTGCTCTTTGGTTCCCACGAGCCTCCCATTTCCCTGAGGGGATTCACCTTGCAGACCGAGGCTCTTATTCCTTGGCAGTGTGCCAGTATCTTTTGGGACTAGTCCTCAGTCTATCACCTGTTTTGAGACTTTTAGAAATTTAATAGTTTTAACAAATGAGAAGCCTCAGCCAACTCTAAGCAGGAGAGAGATTATTTGAGAACCAGCAGAAACATGCATTTAAGAGTGTGCTGTTTTTATTTACCTAATAGGTACTTATGTGGCTCTTATTGTGCTCCAGGCAATGTTAAGGGCTTTACATACCTTTTTGTTTTTGTTTTTCGGCAACTGGCGGGTAGGGGGATCTGAACCCTTCACTTTGGTGTTATAACACTGCACTCTAACCAACTGAACTAACCAGCCAGCCTCTGTAAGTCTTAATTCCTTTGATTCTTAGGTAGAGGTTACTACCAACCTTATTTTATAGCTAGAGAAACTGAGGTTAAGTGCCCTGCTGTCAGGCTGTGGAGCCAGGAGTTGAACCCAAACTGTGGCTCCAGGGTCTGCTCTCACTGTGACACTTGACCTGGGAACATGTGGCTAGGTGGAGGGTCAAGCACTAGGCTCAGAGACACACGTTGGCAGTCTGTAGGATCTCCTGGCACCCTGTTTTTTTGGAACTTAACAGTCGCTGTTCCTCAGGCCACCTTTGGCTTTAACATTCATCCAGTTATTTGCACTTTGCATACACTCCTCAATAAAACTCACCAAGATCTCCAGGCAAAGCATGTGCTAAGAGCGCTGCCCCAACCATCAGATAGAAAGAGAGGAGACCTGCTGGCTGCATGTCCCAGGGCAGAGGATCAGCCCACTGGCCATTAAAAATGGGCCTTCAGGTGAGGCTGTCAACTGAATTGGCCCAGTAGGGCCAGTGATTTGCACACTGGCCTTGGCATTTTGATGGTGAAAGTATGTACCCAGGGATCTTGCTGGGGGTGTCTGAGAAGGTCGTGAGAGGTGCCTGCCTGTGGGTTTTGCTCACAGCGTGTGCTCCTAGGCTCATGCTGAGAGCATTGAGGCCAGGGGCTCCTCCAAAGTCTGCTTAGTAGTGAAGGAGAAGGAAGGACACAACTTGTCCTGGGAGCATATCTGTGGGTAGGGGTCTGCCAGGCAAACTCCTACTTAGCCTTCAAGGCCCCAGTCAAACGTCCCCTTCCTCGTGCTCCCTTGGCAGTCACATGATCAGGACAGCACTTTGACACATTGCTTGGGCTCCCGAATTGGCATGTGGCTGATTTATTCTTTTCTGCCCCCAGCCTGGTACAGTGCCTGGGCACAGTTAGTGTTCAGTACTTACTGGAGCATGTGATGCTTGTTTTGTCAGTGGAAGTGTTTTGGGGTAGGAGGATGTTAGGTTTCTGGGACTGTAAGAAATTACCACAAA